AGATTCCAGGGATATATGTGGCCTAGGGAAAGAAATCTCTCAAAATGATGTTTAAAATGTCATAGAAAGGGACAGAAAATAAAATCTAATGAAAGAGTCCAAGAAAATAATTACAGTCAGTTTATTGGGCATCCCTAATTCATAGCTAAGGTAATATTGGTGTTTTGTGCTTGTTTAAAGAAATAGAAGTAAAATGAAATATGTTAGGAGAAAACCTAAATAATACATAAGGCAAGGAGCAATCTGTCAACATTTGGCATCCAGGAAGCCTCAGGGTTAATACCCTTCTGAATTTTAAAAGTGCAGTAGGGCTTCCCTAGTGGTGCAGTGGTTAAGAATCCACCTGTCAATGCAGGAGACACAGTTCAAGCCCTCAAGGAGCAATCTGTCAACATTTGGCATCCAGGAAGCCTCAGGGTTAATACCCTTCTGAATTTTAAAAGTGCAGTAGGGCTTCCCTAGTGGTGCAGTGGTTAAGAATCCACCTGTCAATGCAGGAGACACAGGTTCAAGCCCTGGTCCGGGAAGATCCCACATGCCGCAGAGCAACTAAGCCCGTGCACCACAACTACTGAGCCTGCGCTCTAGAGCCCACGAGCCGCAATTACTGAAGCCCATGTGCTTAAAGCCCGTGCTCCTCAACAAGAGAAGCCACCGCAATGAGAAGCCCGCGCACCACAATGAAGAGTAGCCCCCGCTCGCCACAACTAGAGAAAGCCCACGCACAGCAACAAAGACCCAACGCAGCCAAAAATCAATAAATAACCTATTTTTTTAATTATATAAAAAAAGTACAGTTAAACACATCAATTAATTGCCTATAATCTGAGGCTAAAACTTTTGGCATGCTTCCTTGTTCATAGCAATAACAGCACCAACAAGTATTTATTGAGTATTAGCCATGGGTCAGATACTGCTGTGAGCACTGCAGAGCATACAGCATTGAAGGTGACAGACAAGGCCCTGTCCTTACAGAGCTTATGTTCTGTCACAAAGAGAAATGATAAATATGGCTGGACCAGGGAACAAAGCATGACTAATTCTCTGGTACAAAGCATCCTGCCTTATAAGGCAGAAGCTTTCTTGCTGGATGGCAATTTTACAGAGACCTAAATCTTTTCCGGTAGGGGAAACTTACTAATGTGTGTTTATAGGTTTGGGGGACTTTACAGAGCGTAGGATAGGACATAAAAGACAAATCCCACCAAGTCAGAGAAAAGATAATGTTCTGACTCTTTAAACCCTGCCCATCCAGGAAACACAACAATTCCTCTGTGGCTTTGGTACAGAAGAACTTGGTTAATATTACAAATTTCTAGGAAGCTTAGCTACATTTGGAAGCTAATGGGAAACAAAGTTTGTCCTTCTCTTCTCTGCCACCTCCCTCATTCACTATGTCTTCTTGTAATTATCTCTTTTTTTCCCTTTCTCTATTTTGAGATTTTTTAATTCTTCAAAAATAAACGCTTTAACTTACTAAATGCATGTAGTATAAAACCAAATATAGCTTAATTTCCCTCACTTTATCCCTCTTATCTTATCCCTATAAGTCCCTTTCCCTCTTTTTTACCACTCTTTGGTCCCTGACTTTCTTTCTACTCTACCATCCTTTTTCTGACCATTTCACTCTAATTCCCCTTCCATCTTTTCCATGTAGAAAAAATGATCACTAGATATAGGGAAAAGCAGAATCAAGTAAAACAAAGGGTTGCCAGTATTCTATGTATGCAGGTAAGTCTGTTTCACAAGAATTTGTCCTTTTGAGTTTTAAAAAATTGCCTTGTGTGAATAAATTTCACTAGAACTAGGGTTACTAGATATAACAAAGATTGTAAACATAAAGTTTTATACATTTTCTTAGCTGTCTGAAGATATTCTTTCAAAAATTCTTTTGTGTTTTTGTCTATACTGAACAATTTGCATGAGAGAAAGAGAGGAGGAGAGAGCTGCCCCTGTCTCTGCCTCTCATCAGATGTCCATTTTCAAATGTCTCTTTAAGCCCCATGTCTGTCCTATCCTAAAATTGTCTTCATACTGCATGCCTAGAACTCCTCACTTTACTATCCCCCCCAGCCTGGCTCCCTGCAGGGATATTGGAGAAAGCCCAGGTTTGGAGTCAGACTGATACCTATTTGAAGCTCAGCTTTACTTGCCTAGTGACTTTAGGCAAGTTACTTAACTCTCTTAACAGTTTCCTCATCTGTAAAATGGTGCTCATAAAACCAACCTTATTATATTGTCACAATTATTTAATGATCTAATCCATAAATGTTCTAATCACACTATGTAGCAGACAGTTATCATTTAATAAATAGAATATAAGATTTATATACGCATAAACATACATATACATATATAAATAACGACGTGCCCATCTTTCTCTCACATACACATGGAATTTACCTGTCTGTCATCAATGCCATTCTCCCAGAGTTATTCCCTTTCGCCCTTGAAGCATTCACTTTTTTCCAAATTCCCAATTAGCTAATGTAAGAATCTAATCACTGAAAATGTGCTAATGAGAAAGGATAAGAGAAGAGCACGCTGACTACTGCCTGCCAACTCAAATACCCCCCAGTGGTATAAATATGGCTCTTGGAAACAAAACTGTACTAAAAACTACATAGGCCAGAGCAGTGACTCACAGTGTGAATTTTAAGCAGCATCATTTGGGAGCTTACTGTAGTAGCTCTCAGTAACCGTGATTGCTTCTGTTACATGTGTTAATACCTAGGCCTTCACTAATATAAAATCAATAAATAAAACAAATGGATATTGTGTCTTTTTTCATATAAATTAAAGTACGTGCAAAGACACCGCATGTGCCCCAGAACACTCTACAAAACAAATATAACTCCTAGGAAAATAAGATCATGAGAAGGTTAAATGCCCACGTAATGTCTATTATAAAGCCAAGCCTAGAACACAATTCTCTTTTCAAGTCACTATTTCTAGACCACACCATGTTGACTTCATGAGGTTTAACTAAATAAAGGAAGTACTGCTTTGAAATCCCCCTTCCAAAAGATCCAAAATTTGTAAATTAGGCAATGACAAGAGAGTCACACCCTTTGCCACACTAACAGAAGGACTCGGTGGCTGGCCACGGGAGTCAGCCACTTGGTCATTTTTCTAGATGCTATCCATCATTAAGCACATTGCCGAATTTCATGCAACCTAATTTAAACATCTAACTGGTTGTTCTGATTGGAATAAACATTCAGCCCCAGTAAAAGCTTGATGATCCTGACACCTAGTGGATGTGAAGAAACTGGAAAAGATCCAGTTTCGGAAAAGTAGCTACCTACTATGGCAGTATCTTGCAAACACACAGAACTTAATGATTATTAATATTATAAAATATGAACTCTCAAAACAACCCCATAAAAGTCTATTTTGGCTCTGGATTTATCTTGTGGTCTATAAAAAGAGGCTAAAAGACGTGCACTTGGAAAGCATGTTTCCCTTTAACCTTACACATTTAGCAAATTTTTACTAACCTTCAGAGATCAAACAAGAAAATTAAAGCTAAACTAAAAAAAAAAAACTATTTGGCATATTTATGACTCCTTTCTTTAAGCTTGTATGTACATCCACATCCTTTTCTTGGTCTTAAAGTGGTTTTTCTCCTCACGTATCCCCCTGTCAAATATAAAAGCCACCTGTTCAAGCCACATAGAGGTTCCCTTTATGCCACTAAGGCATCCTTAGTCAAAGGGTAGTTGAACCTTCACAAACCAGCAGGAGTTTTCTTTAAAAGAGGTATAAGGACACTCGTGGAAACCCCCAAAGTGCACATATAAAAGCAAGGACAACGTTGAATGCCGCAGGAAGCCATGTGAACACAGCAGGTCAGCACCACACAGCACAACTTATTTCTGCCCTAAATATTAGAAGATAAGTCTCCCCAGACCCACCTGAGCCTCTGACAGGCAGGAAGGCGAGAAGACTAAAGTGTTCTTATCGTCCACCAAGGAGAGCTCTAAATCCTACCTGCTGACGTTTGAAGGCTAAATAGTCCAGATTTTCCAGCTCCTTCCCAAGCTTCTGGTAGGTTTTCTGGAGGTCAGATTTGTTGGAAACATTTTTAAGAGACTCAAATGTTCTCTGAAACTGAAATCGAAACAAAAGTAAATCATTAGGATAGCAGCATAATTTTCTCAAATTCCTAACCAGTAACACAGACAAATAGTCAATACTGAGCCTCAGTTTCTCCCATTCATAATACAGAGGTAACAGAGGCTATCTAATTGCCTTTCAATTAAATAGTTAGGCACAGTTATACAGAATTAGAAACTATGTGCTAAGTACAAGCAACATTATTGCATGAATGAGAAGCCTGTTTAGTCCTCATTCTAACAAAAGAACATACTGCGTTAAAAAAAAATTTTCTTTAACTCTTCATGTCTTAGGATACACTGCTACTACTCCTAAAGAAAAAAATTGCAATGAATGTATAATTTCAAATCATAATGAGAAAGTATTAAAAAGAGGTCTCACATCCCAATCACGGAAACAAATTTATGTAAAGGTAGCCACTTGCCTCTATAGAAACATTTATGCAGAAAAGGCACCCAGCAAACTTCAGCCAGGAAGATCTCTCAGATCTTATATTTTGAGAAGAAAGGAGAACAAATGTCTTGATGATCGAAGCATATGTAGCATGTTCAGCAAACATTTATTCATTTCTGCTCTATAACGGACATGAGTTAATGAAATCAGTTCTGCTGAATCAGAATGCTCCATTCATTTTTAAGTCAGATACTAGATAAACACAAAGACAAATTGCAGTGTATCACAGAATATTGTTCTGCTACTAATAATTAAGCAAAAGGAGCTCACAAGAAATTGAATTCTTTGTTTATTTTAGTAAATTAGAACATACTTTAGAGGATTAGTGATTGAAAATGTCAAGTAATATTTGCAAGACATTTGCATCTGCTTTCTTTATGTCATTTATTTCCCATATTCTCAATGTGTGCCATTAGATAGAATTCTACAGATAGAGACTTCACCATCTTAAACACACCAGAATTCCACTGTGACTATGATGCTACGAGACAGGCTAATAAGATTTTACAGAATATAATTAAGTTTCCAGGGAAATGATTTGACCCTTACTATTTCAAACTCCATGGAATAAGTCATATTATAATGGCATTCTACTGAATTAAATCCTCAATTTCATGAAAGCAACATGTTTATCCCAATCCAAGGTGACAGAGGAAAAAGAAATAGGAAATAATATTGCTAAACTTTCACAGCAGGACAATAAATTAAATTCAACAAACAATCTTTTAGAACCTACTATGCACAAGGCACTATGAATATAAAACATACTTCCTGCCCTAAAGTAACTTATAGACTACCAGGGAAATTAGACATGAAACTCAGAAATGGGAAAGATACTGACATTTACTGAGTGCCTGCTCAGTGCAAGGTACTTTATCCTTTCGAATTTAATCCTCACAAGAACCACAGGAGTTCCTATTTGTCCTCCCATTCTACAAGTAAACTGAGACTCAGAAAGCTTGAACCATTTTTTTTCAATAATACATTATTTTATTTTTTTTTTTTTGCGGTACGCGGGCCTCTCACTGCTGTGCCTATCCCGTTGCGGAGCACAGGCTCTAGAAGCGCAGGCTCCGCGGCCATGGCTCACAGGCTCAGCCGCTCTGCGGCATGTGGGATCTTCCCGGACCGGGGCACGAACCCGTGTCCCATGCATCGGCAGGCGGACTCTCAACCACTGCGCCACCAGGGAAGCCCATACTAAATAGTTCCAAGTACTCAAACTATGATGATTCATTTATTTAAGTACATTTTTTCACTTAAAACAACAAATAATTGTCAAGGAGAGGTCATACAAAATCTATAATATAACTTTAAGCTAGATCCCTATCAAACACATCCCATTCCCATCTGCTCACATATACACTTAAAGATGCTATAGAGTAAAAGCAATAATTTTATCTTGCAGATGCAGCTGAAGTACAGAAGACAAAAATAAGACAAAGGTTAAGGTGAAATTTATATTTTACTTAAAGAGATTTAATGTTGCCTTGATTAGAAAATTTTTTGTTCCAATAGGCCACTGTGCTTGATAATTGAAACAGACCTCTTGAGATTTTCTACATTAGTTTAGGGCACTGTAGTCTCATTATATCGACTGTTTCTCAAAATAAATGACCTCTCAGTTGAAGCTGAGAAAGGAAGCACAAACAATCTAAGAGATTTTAATATTTCTGGATTTTACCTGTTCAGAGTTTTTAGTGGGAATTTTAAATGAACCAAAACCCCAAAATAATTTGTTGAACATTGAGTTTATCCTGTGTTAATATTTTTAACTCATTGCAAACCAAATTCAAACTTTAAAAAAAAAAGCCCAATGAATAAATTTGAATCTAAAACAAACCTAGGTATGTTCTAAAAATGTCAAAACTGAATACTAAAACGGTCTCTGTATTGGGAAAGAAATCCAATTCTGTCCTATTTGACTACCTTACCAAATTTCACACACAACAGACGAGAATAAGAAGATGCAAACAGTATCTCTAAGCCCAAACAGTAAGTATTGTATACCATAAAAGTAAGCAATGTAAACACATCCAGAGTGTTTTCTTTTTGTTTAAATTTATTTGTTTGTTTATTTATTTATTTTTGGCTGCGTTGGGTCTTTGTTGCTGCACTTGGGCTTTCTCTAGTTGCAGTGAGCAGGGGCTACTCTTCGTTGCGGTGCGCAGGCTTCTCATTGCGGTGGCTTCTCTTGTTGCGGAGCATGGGCTCTAGGCACGCAGGCTTCGGTAGCTGTGGCATGCGGGCTCCGTAGTTGTGGCTCGCAGGCTCTAGAGCGCAGGCTCAGTAGTTGTGGCACACGGGCTTAGTTGCTTCGTGACATGTGAGATCTTCTCGGACCAGGGCTCGAAGCCGTGTCCCCTGCATTGGCAGGCGGTTTCTTAACCACTGCACCACCAGGGAAGTCCCCAAAGTAGTAATAATAGTAATCCACAAAATAATACAACAGAGACCATGACTGCTCATCTCCCATTAAAATAACTGAAAATCTGCTTTGCAGAAAAGAGAAGGATGAGTAAGGCAGAAAAGAAAATATCTAGTTTGACTCAGCATTCCCAAATACATTTTCCTCCTTTTCCTGACAACATGTTTTGAAATAAATCTAAGCCAATGTTCTATACAAACTACACATTCAATGAGTTCATGAAACTTATGTAGATTCATGGAGTAATTTGAGAAAGAGGACAAGAAGAAACCAGCTGAAGCAGAAGGAAAAAATGCAGCCAGGGCTCTAGCAAGTAAAGTTTCCCTGGCACTCACCGCCAATGCCCTGGCTTCCTCTTGTAGTCAGATCAATACAATCAAATAATTCCACAGCTCCAGCAGCCTACTAATTCCCATAATGAAAAAATATTGAGTATCATTGCTCCAAAAGAATAGCCAGCTCAATAGTTGTCATTTTTCTTCTTTAATATTTTGTGCATTTGTACAAGGTACTAGATGTTACCTATAACATAAAAAAAAATTCCATACTCACAGCATTATATATACAAAAGAGTATCCTATAAGTACCTGATTGAAAGCACTGAATCACCAAGTGTGATCTTAGTGTCCCTAAAATGTCAGTGTGAAATAGTGCCAAAAGATTCTGGAAACTAAAGCAGACGGAAGTAATGAGCAAAGACTAAATATTAATGCTCTATAAATATTAATGTTTAGAGTAAAAAGAAATTGCTTTAAGCATAAGAAATGGCTAATCCACCCTACTTAAATATGGCAAATACAGAGCAACCAAAATGAAGTAATATTGAGAAAAAAATTATTTCATTTTCTGAACCCAATCCATTGACTTTCATACATATTTTCCAAATGAACTTACCAGATGATAATATCACTCATGAAAAGGAAGTTTACAGCTAACACTGAATATTAAAGGACACATATATCTCAAATGATTTTTTTACTGTAAGGAATGATAACCAAAGTTAAATTAAGAACATAGAACAAAATTGGGCTTGAAATCTAAAATAGAAGTAGTCCTGTGGAGCTGAAAGTACACTGGCCTTGAAGTCTGGGTTCAAGTCCTTGTTATGCCGTTTAATAATTTCATACCTTTGGACAAGTCACTACTACTCCAATTCTTGATTGTGTTACCTGTAAAATGGGAGAAACTGTCCTTGCCTGCCTGCTTTATAAGATTGTTGTGAAATCAGCTGAGGAAAAATGAAACACATTCATTCTACAAATCTTTAACATGGGCCTGACAACATGCCAGCCATGCAAGAAATGGAGGAAAACAAAAGAGAAATAGCTCTTGCCCTAGAAAAGCAAATAATCTAGCATTACAGATTACTGCTTTATAAATTTTAAAGTTCCATAAAATTGTAAGAGACCACTGTCATTAAACTCATGCCCATTCAGTAGTGAATGAGGACTGAACAAAAGAGTAATTCAATAATTATTTATTGAGCATCTCTGAGCAAGGGATTTTTGAGGGAAATAGATACACTTATTTAGATTTTTTTCTTCAATATTATTACAAAACTTATTTTTATTTATTTATTTAATTCTATTTTATTATGGCAGAATACTTAACATGAGATACATGCTCCTTAAAATTTTAAGTATAAAATACATTGCTGTTGTCTATAGGTACAATGTTCTATATGAGATCTCTAGTTTATTCACATAGCTTAACTGAAACTTTATGCCCACTAATTCCCCAGTTGTGTGTTCTTGGCACCCTTGTTGAAGATCAGTGACTGTATACACATGGATTTACTTCTGGGCCCTCCACTCTGTTCCACTGATCTACATGTCTCTCTTTATGCCAGTACCATACTGTTTTCTTTACTGAAGCTTTGCAATATTTTTGAAATAGAGTAGTGTGATGCCTCCAGCTTTGTTCTTCTTTCTCAGAATTGAGTTGACTATTTGTGGTTTTTATGTGGTTCCATATGAATTGTAGAGTTGTTTTTCAATTTCTGTTGTAAAAATGTCACTGGGATTTTAACAGGAATTGCTTTGAATCTGTAGATCACTTTGGGTATGGACATTTTAACAATATTAAGTCTACCAATCCATGAACATGGGATGTC